ACCCTCCCCCCTCTCTCTCCCCATCTCCTCACGATTCCTTGTTTTTTTTTTTTTTAATACATCTCTTTCGTATCGCGAAAATATTTTTGTTTTTAAAATTCGAATAATATTTGTTTACTTTTTTTTCCCGCCAAAAATAAATAAAAAACTAACAACTACCAACTTAAAAAATTCGTGGAATTAGGTATGACGTCATAAAATTACGAAATTAATTTGTTTGTTTTGTGTGAAAAGTAATCGAGCGTATGTTTAAATTAAAAATAATTTTTACACCGTAATAATAATAATAATAACGATGATGATAATTTTATTATTATTTAAGAAAACTTAATAATAATAATAATAATGTAAGCGTATTCCTTCGGGGTGATAATAAGAGTTAAAATTCGATAAGAAAGATTGCGGTTGTAAAAACAAAAAATTTTACTTAAGATAAACATTATTATTATTATTACTGTTAGTTTTTAGGGAATGATAGTTAAAAAAAATAGAGAAGAGAGAGAAAGTTAGTTGTTAGGAAAATATTATTTTCGTTGAGGAAAAAAAGGAAAAATGTTTTCTTCGAGGTTTTTCCATAGATTCCCGTTGATTTTTATATATTTCCCAATGGGAAATTGTAGCGTGACGATCCTGACGTAAGAGTCAAATGCAAAAACGTTGCCGTCAGCTTTTAACGGTTTATCGCGTTATCACATCTTCTTCGTATATCTTCATTGTTTGAAAACAAATCATTTTTTTTAATACGTTTTACCTGTCAGGTTAAATTTACACACATTCAACGGTTCAATTTTTCCTTTTATTTATTTAAAAAAAAAAAAATTTTCACGAATATGTTAAAAAAATTTTTATTTTCTTTTCTTTAAATTCGGATAAAAGTAAACCGTGAGTTTTTTTTTTTTTTTAAAAACGTTTCTCAATATTTTTAACATTATTATTACTTTTTGTTTTTCTAATGCCACGATATAAAAAATGAAAAAATTTAAGATTGAAAAAAAAAACGTTCGGATAATAATAATAAAAGGGGGAATAAGGAAAAAAAAAAAAAAAACGTGTAAATAATTAAACGTCTTTTTTTCTTTTTTTCTTTTTGCTCTTCTTCAAAGAAGCAAAAACTTTTACGTGCGTGAAAAAAATCAATTTGTCGCAAGTATAAAAAAAAAAAAAAAATTTTCTTTTTTTTTTTTTGACAAAATAACGACAAAAAAATTCGTTTTAAAGGTATTTTCCTTTTTTTCCTCCGTAAAAAAATTTTTTTTTCCTTTTTATTTTCCAGGTAAAATTTTTTTTCCTTTTTTTTTTTTCCTTTTACTACTCTTTCTTTGAAGTTTTTTTTTTTTTTTAAAAATTTTTGGATCCAGTTAAAGTAAAAATAAAATGCTCAATGGTTTCGCGATCAGAAGAGGAGGTTATTTCTCTTGGGCCCCATGATTCTTTTCGCGCGACTTACCAACTTTTCCTTCTTTTCCTTTTTCTTCTTCTTCCTCTTCTTCATTTCAAATTCTCACACATTTTATTTCTTTCATTTTAAGTTTGGATCTTTTATCGAATATATATGTAAACGCAATTTCAAATGGAAAATTATTATTATTTTTTATCGATCGATATCTTACGCAACGACAGGTTAGACAACTTAACAAAATAAATATTTCTTTCCCTCCCATCTTCCCCTCCAAAAAAAAACAAAAAAAAAATTCACCTTCTATCTAATCTCGAAACAAATCCGATAATTTTCCCGACAAATTAACGTTTAAATCATTTTTATCCTGGAAAAATAAAAACTCCAGCTTTCTCCAGTTTTCTCGGTTTAAATTATTTCCAACGCATTTAACATTTTAACACTTTTTTTTCATTGTTATGACCCGCGTCGGTCACCTACGATTTTCTTTTTTTTTTCCCCCATAATTTTATTTTAATGGCAAATTTCAAGAAAAAAAAGAAAAAAAAAAAGGGGAAAATTATTTTTCTTTTCGTATCCAAATTTTGAATGATCTTTTTCGATTTTCTATAAAAGAAAAAAAAACACACACCCTTTCCTAAAACAATTCCATTCATTTAGTACGAAGGATTTTTCTTTCCAGTTTAAAAAAAAAAAAAAAGAAAGAAAACCTTTATTTTCCAGTTTGAAATAACGACTCTTTTATACAAATATAGTGCAAACCGATTCACATTCATCACTATTCGTACGTAACCCGCAAAATGGTATTTAAATCACAAGATTTTCTTTTTTTATTTTTCCACAAAGAATTGAAATAAAATAAAATAAATTTTTTACCCTTTTTTCCTTTCTTCCTTTGTTCCCGTATACCTTTGAATAATTTGTTAAAAATTTTATCTCTCTCTCTCTCTCCCTCTCTCTCTCGCTCTCACAAAAAAAAATTTTTTTTTTTTTTTCGCGAATCCTAAAAGAAAACTAAAAAAAAAAGGAAAAAAAATTATTCCGAGTTTTTATTTATTTATTTATTTTATTACATATTTAATGAAACGGACAATATGCTGGAGAAAACAAAATAAAATAAAATTACGTAATGTTATTGCTGGAAAAACAAAAAAAAAAAAACAAAAATTTTTTCGTATTTTTTTTTTTTTTTTTTCGGAGGAAAATTGCCAACTTTTATTTTCTTTCTCTATTAAATCATTAATTTATTTATTTAAAATTTTTCCCCGTTGGATTATTAAATTCTTCGAATGGTTTTCCAGATTAAAAAAAAAAATTCTCCAGTAAATTCCAATTTATTTTTTATTTTTTATATATAGTA